CGACCACCAAACGTCGTCTGATTTCCATTCTTTGTTTGTAACTAGATTTCAACCTAACGGCTGATTATTGTAATATGATCTTCATCAAATTCAGGTATGAATCAACCTCTTGTAATCTAATCCAATATTAATATAATCATTTCAACTGGGCATGGCCCCGTGATTTTCCCTTTTTTCAAGATTTTCCACGTAAAATTCCGGTGTTTCATTTTTCTTCTATTTGTATGATGGATATTCGTACACCGCTGAGACGAAAATTTATAACTCTATCTCTATGTATATTCTAGCCTGCAACATATATATATATATATAATAAGCTAAATATATTTTTTGAAGCAAAAAGAAATATTGTAATAAAACCTCTAAATTTGTAGGATTATCTACAACTAATGATGAACACTGAGGACTCTATAATTAAAAATTCATTGTTTTCTCAAGAAATATCTCCAATGATAATCGATATCATCTAATGCCATGGACGAGCACGTGCCCTCCTCAAGAAAAAATTCCATTTACATCATGCTCATTGGCTCTCACCCTCTCTTTCCATCTCTCTTTTACATATTATCTCTTTAGTATCTCTCTCTCTTTCGGACATTTTGTTGTTTAGCCCCTAGCTCCTCTCTCTCTCTATCTCTCTCTCTTCATTAGGGATGATATTATTTTCCTCTCCATCTTTATGTTACTAGTTTTTATTATTATTATTTTTATTTTAGAAACTCCAACTTCTAGTTTATAGAAAATTTATGTAATTAAAGCCAACAAATTACATTAGATGAGAATTATAATGCTTAAATTTAAATCAAGTAGCTTAAAGTATATTTATTGTAAATTTTATATTTTTTTAATATACTTTTATAATAATTGGATGCAGTTTTTTTTATATATTTATTGCTCTTAAAATACTTTTTAGCTATATTTTTATTTAAAATATATATGAAAATATATGGTAGAAGAGTAGTTGAAATAGATTAGCATGATAATATATAGTTTAAATAAATTTGTATTGAAATTAATTTAGATGAGCATGATAATATTTTTTTTTTCATTATCATAAAAGTTATCTACTTATAATTAATAATAATAATAATAATAATAATAATAATAATAATAATAAAATTGAATCCATAATGTCAATTTAAAGGTAAAATGAAAAAGTTTGAGAGAATTTTTAAAGTCAATATTTTGTGCCTCCACAGATCAAAAATCTTGGCTCCACCACTGTCTACTGTTGTAGTATTTATGTTAAATTGCATGATGAATCATGAATCACCACTAGGATGATGAGAAACTGTTAAAAATATCTCAACATTGGCAGCAATTTGTTTTACATTTGAGTACTTCATAAAGTAGTAAGATTAAGTCTTCGTTTGGAACGGCTATCTTAGTGCTTCTTAAAAAAAATTAATTAAAAAATAAAAAAAAATTACAAAAATAATCGCTAAAACTCTGCTCTATTGACAAGGAAATATAAACAAATCAAGATATGTAGAGAACCATTGAGCAATTTTTCATCAACAAGGTTTCCTCTATTAAAGATGATGTAGAAAGAGCCCTCAAAAGAGGCATGAGGTGGTCAAAAGTTTTTTTATATATTTTTTTGCAAAAAAAAATTGAGAGACTTCCTAATATTACAAACAAGCTAAGAAAAAGAAGGATAAGTCCCCAACAAAATCATAGGGCTCAAAAGTAATGCAAATAAAATTAAAGACGCTTCCATGGGCTGCAAAGGCAACCACAAAATATAAATGTCAATATTCTCCAACATCCATAAGGCACATAATATTCTCTCAAAATATTCAAAAATTGCATGAATGCAAATAACATAACCTGATATAACCTTCTTACGTATCATTGTCTCTTGTCAATGCCTAATAAAAGGAAACCAAAAACATAATCGGCCAAAAAAAAGAGTATCTTGATAATGAACAAAAAAAGAGAAGCAACAATAGCTAGAGATTATAATAATAAACATCTAGCTCCTCAAGCATCCACCTCCCCCAACATGTTCTAATCAAATTCCATCTAGTAAAAATTGTAAGGATGAATAGTTCAACATAAAACCAAAACATATAATATCACAGACTCATTTATATATTCTTTGCCACCATCACTCTGTAGGCATTTTATTTTAAATGGGAATTGGTTTTCAATGGCAGTATGAAATTTGACGAATGTGGAGAATACTTCGGATTTATGCTTTAAAAGATAGACCCACGTGAAACGAGATGAGTCATCAATAAAGGATACATAGTATATGTAGCCTTGCATTGATGAAAAAGGGACCAGACCCCAAACATTTGTATGAACAAGATCAAATGGTTTGTAGTTATGATTTTGAGAAGATGAGAAAGGGAGGTTATGACCTTTGGAGGTCTTAAATGATGAACAAAAAGAAAGTGAAGTAGGTATAGCGAAAAATTTATTCGTCTTGGATATAGTGGATGTGGATGTCCCAAACGATGATGCCACAGAAGAGATGCTGGAATGTTGGTTGAGAGAGCTGTCTTCTGAGGATGTCGATCATGCATGGTTTGAAGAAATGGAATAAATACCATCACAGCACGGACCGGAGAGCAAAGTTGAATTGTTCAACCGATCCTTGATTTGAAAACCGGATGGATTAAAAAGAATTGAAACATTATTGTCTTCAGCTAAATTGGACTCTAAAAGATGATTAAAAGATAGTTGAGGTAGATAAAAAATATTGCGTAAATAGAGCTTACACAAGGGTGTTGGAAGAAGTCCTGGTCCAGAGTGAGCTATGGGAAGATGACGACCTTGTCCAACTGTGACTGAGTTGTTACCTTAATAGTCTGAAGTTTGAAAAATATTTTCTATGTTGTTGGTAAGGTGAGATGATGCACCGATGTCCAAGATCCAGTCCGCGTTGGATTGAATTGAGGGGGTTGTAAGAGCAATTTGCTAGTTAGAAGGAATGGGATACTTTATATTCAGTCGGTGCAAGCACGAGTGGGCTGGATGCCCTCTTTTGCCGCAAATCTGACATAGTATAGTAGCAGTTGAATGATCAGTCGATGTTATTGAAGAGGAAGACTGATTGTGTCTTCCACGATTTGAGTTGTAAGAAGAGCGTCCACGACCACATCCTCTGCCACGATATGAGTAAAGTGCCATATTCGAATATGGAGTCGCAGCTTCCTTGGCAGATTCAGTGGAAATGTTTATTTTCTCACTTAGCAGAAGTGAGTATAAGTCTTCCAAGCCGATCAGAGATAGATTAGTGCGAATCGACGTCCTAAACGCTTGATGCGATGGTGGTAAGCCATTTAAGGTGTAAAGAAGTATGTCTTCTGGATCTATGGTTGCTTCCGCAACAACTATGTCATCAACTAGCTTCTTGATAACGATGGGGTATTGAAGCAGCGTAGATTGCCCCATTGAGATGTTATTCAGCTCATTTTTTAGCTGAATAACTCTTGAACAATTTGTTGCCTGCAGTCGATGTTCAAGGGTCTTCCAAATGTCGGTCCAGGAGTCAATATGAAGAACGTACGGGAGAATGGACAGAGAGATAGAGAAAGTTGAGCACAGTGCCACATCCAGGTTTTGATCGGAGAGCGTCCATTGGGTGAAGCGTTTGTTGGGCGTTGATATACCGTCGGGTTACTCGTCAAGACGGGGAGGAACAACTATCGAAGGATCCAAGAACGATGCAAAGTTGTTTACTCTAAACAACTTTAGAATATGAGATTTCCATGAGGGATAGTTATCGCCGGTGAGGGTAACAGGAATAATGTTCTTGATGTTAGAGATTAAGAATTTTAAAGACGGAGGGATGGCTATGTTGTATTCAGTGTCTTCTCCAATGTGAGAGGAATGGGAAGAATCCATTGGTTTTAGAAGAGACTTTAGATCGAAAAAAGAAGGGGCTGTGAGCCGTAATGAAGCTTTGATACCATGTCAGAGAGCTCACGACAGAGACAAGAAACTGAAATAGGAAATCTATATTTCATTACTGTCATATGTACGATACATCCCTATTTATAGGATATAGATATTCTTGAACTTAATGGATGAATTACAAAGTGTATGACTAAGATAAGAGTAGGCCGTTATGAGTTTGTTTGAGAAGTATGCTCCATGAGCTATAGTACAACTGTCATTGTCTTATTTGCATTTAGGAGGAAGAGAGAAATAAAAAATGAGGATAGAAAGATGGGGGAATTGGTATAAGCAAGACATCAAATCACTAGAAAAAAATATATTATAAAGATTTATTTAAAAGAACTAAAATGCAGACCACAATAGCAAGTAAAAGATGTAATCTTACTTGATCATCTTTATATTTAGTCTTCACACTATTAACTTGTCTCATTTCTTCCATTTTTAACAGGGATATTGATGAGAATAGAAAAGTTTGCATATTTGTGGAGAAAAGAGAATATAAGTTGCCCAACTTTCATTCATCGTTAAACTATTATTTCTACTTAAAGTTTTGAATGATTTATGTAGATTTAGAGTTCATAATACATACCCAAAATACCCTAAAAGAAGGAGATCATATATTGTTAAAACATAATATAAAAAAAATCCACCATAGGTTGATTTGAAAGTCCAATCTTGAATATTGTTGTGAGGGGGATTAATATTGTGAATCTAATTATCATTAATCTAATAAATAAATAAGATTAATTATAATGAGTGATTAACATTTTTAACCATTCCTATAATTAGTGTTTAAAATTATTATTAGGTTATGCTAATCTTAAAAATCTATAAATACACCCAATTGATCACAGACCTGTAATACCTATTGTCATATAAAGATAGTTATGGGAGAAAAGCAATGGCTCTATTAGTAAATACCTGTTGTCATTTGGTTAAATTTAGATAGAAACAACTTCTATAAAATACATAATTGCAAAATAATTAAAAAATAAAATTTTAATTATATATAACTACATAGAATCTTCTCAAAATTTGCACTTTTGCCCCATGATTAGTCAGTTGCAGCCTCAATATTAATCCTGCCAATCTTAACAAGAGCTTTTTTTTTATAAAAACATCTATAATAGATGGCCAAATTGATAATTACAATATCATTACATTAGCATTCTGAAGTCCAGTCTATATCTACAAAACAAAAACTGTTCTCATTTTCTTCCAGTAAAAGGTAAACTGCAGCAAAAATTGAAAAGATCTTAGTGATTAGCTACTAGCACTTCACCTGATGATCCATTCTCCAATTTCCTGATGATCAGCTTGGCCTTCAGGGCATCAATCAAAATTGATTCTTCCTCCATAATCTCTCCTCTCAGCAGTCCAAGAGCAACCTCGTTCTCCACCATTTGTTGAATAACTCTTTTTACAGGCCTTGCTCCAAAGTTAGGATCAAAGCCTAAGGTACCCAGCAACTCAACTGCTTCTTTAGTGTACTGCAGATCAATTTTCTTCTGCTTGAGCCTGTCTTTCACACGATTTAACTGCAATGGCAATTTTTCAGTAAGATCATTGAAGGCAAGTGAGTTTGAGGGAGTTAAAGGAGAAAATCTAAACACTTTGAACAAATTTTTTATCAACAAATGATGAAAGACTTCAAGCTATAGAGCAATTTTCAGATGATATTACCTGTAACTCCACAATACGATTGATTTCTTTGGAATCAAGTGGCTGGAAAACAATATATTCATCGATTCGGTTCATAAATTCTGGTCGGAATGTCTGCCTAGCCAACTCAACTACCTGCTTCTTCATTAGCTCATAAACAGCTTCTTTAGTATCATGGCTGCTGCGTAGAGTTTCAAGGATGTAATGTGATCCTATATTAGATGTCATTATTACGACAGTATTTGTAAAACTAACGGTCCTGCCTTGTGAATCAGTGATCCTTCCATCATCTAGTAGCTGCAATAGAATGTTGAAAACATCATGGTGTGCCTTCTCAAGCTCATCAAAGAGGACAACAGAGTAAGGCCGCCTCCTCACAACCTCAGTTAGCTGTCCCCCTTCTTCATAGCCAACATAACCAGGTGGAGCACCGACCAAGCGAGAAACCGAATGCTTTTCCATGTATTCACTCATGTCAATCCTCACAAGAGCGTTCTCCGTGTTGAAAAGGTAGCCTGCAAGTGCTTTAGCAAGCTCAGTTTTACCAACACCAGTGGGGCCCATGAACATGAAGCTTGCTATGGGACGATTGGGGTCCGAAAGCCCAGCTCTTGATCTGCGTATGGCATCGGCCACAGACTTTACGGCGATATCCTGGCCGACGACCCTCTTATGAAGAACCTCTTCCAATGAAACCAGCTTATCCCTCTCTGACTGCTGAAGGTTGGAGATTGGGATGCCAGTCCATTTGCTCACAATTTCAGCAATATCAATGTCAGTGACCTCTTCCCTAAGCATAGAATGCCCTGATTGCCGGAATTCTTCAAGTTTAAGCTCAGCTTCCTCAAGCTGTCTCTGAAGGGACATAAGTGTGCCATATTTGAGCTCAGCTGCACGGTTCAAGTCATACTCACGTTCAGCAGCTTCCATCTCTAAGTTCACTCGATCAATCTGAAATGATGAATAATAATGAATAGAAACTAAAATGTGGTGTCAAAGAACCTTAGGTTGCCTCAATAATTTCAAATTTACCTCCTCTTTAATTGAACGTATTCGAGTCATTAGGTTCTTCTCATTCTCCCAATGCTCAGAAAGTTCTTTTTGCTTTTGTTTTAGTACTTCAAGATCAGCTTCCAGCTTGCTGAGCCGTTCCTTTGAAGCTTTATCAGTGTCATTTTTCAATGAAAGCTTCTCCATCTCTAATTTAAGTATTGCTCTATCCACCTCATCCAATTCAATAGGCTTAGATGTTATTTCCATCTTCAGCTTAGCAGCGGCTTCATCAACAAGATCAATGGCTACAAGGAGCAGGTATATTCTACTCAAATGTACACTGCAAGAGAGAAACAATTTGGAAAACTTGATTTTTCACATACCTTTGTCAGGCAAGAATCGATCGGTAATATAACGGTCTGATAGAACAGCAGCTGAGACCAGAGCACTATCTGATATTTTAACACCATGATGCAATTCATAACGCTCGCGAAGTCCGCGTAGGATAGATATTGTATCTTCCACAGATGGCTGACCACAATAAACCTGCTGAAATCTCCTTTCCAAAGCAGGGTCCTTCTCAATATATTTCCTGTATTCAGTCAGTGTTGTTGCTCCAATACAGCGGAGCTCTCCCCTACCTAGCATTGGTTTAAGCAAGTTGCCAGCATCCATTGCTCCACCAGTAGCTCCTGTAGAAACCGCCAAAAATTAGCTTATAGAAGTCTTTTGCATAGGTTTATGTTATTTAAAAAGTATTAACTTGTAACAGTGCATCACAGATACATCTAATATCCCATCAAGCTAATCAAACGAACAATTTCACATGAGATGACTTAAATGAAAACCAATAGAGATGAGCCCTTATTGAACGCAAGCAGTTTTTCCTGAAGGCAACTTTTTAAATACAAAAAAATATCAGATATCCTATATTCAAGTATATTCCATAAATCCTAGTTGGCATAATCCATGTTTGATACTCATAGCAAATGTAGGGTATGAGATGATGTAAGCAGCCTTAGCTAGCATGGTTGAAAGCTTTCTATGATTCAAACTAATGGCCTCTTGGTTCCTAAAGAGGCTATCTGACTGTGGGCTCCGAAAATTTGCATTCCGGCCTCTCCGCACCTCTTTATTAATGGAGAGAGTTTTAACGATTTTAGGATCTAGAGTACATTTTTAGAAAGAAGATTATGTTTTAGATAAGACACTACCTCTCTGGATAATGAGAGAGAACTTTCGATTAAAGCAAGTCGTTAAATATCTTGCAATAATTACCTAACATATAATAACAACGATTTTAATAATTTGAATTTGGTTTTGTATTTTAGAATTTATGATTTAAAATTTATCACCATATACTTAAAGTGGGTGATGAGAGGAGGATGACGAGCCCGATCAAGATCCCATGGTTCAGTCAACCCGAGATGTCGTGGTCCCTGATCTACATAGTCATAGGAGGTAGTTGACCCAACCTGACAGAATGAACCTTGTCAAAAGCCATGGGTTGCTTCGTCCAATGATGCCTTGTAGACTTGGGATAAATGTTTGTTTAAGATGATGAATTTAAGTCAATTTTAGCTAATAAAGAGCTTTATATCATACAGAGTGCACCTTATAATTCATTACTCAATGAGCTTTTAACCATTAGGGAACATATGGGTTTTGGCCGTGACCGTAATATAATGGTTTCATTTGCCGGCAAAACCACCCACTTAGAGGCTACGTGCCACGACCCTAATAGTATGAAATTAATTGAAAATTGATGCATTCAATAGCTTTCATTTTATGTTTATTTTGAAAACTATTGTAATTTGAATATTTTAATGTTTTATTTTTATTTACCCAATGATGGAAGGCAACCAATAATCATGATTAGGGAGAGTGCTCTTTGGACATGTCACTCCTTTGGTTTGCTAGCTTTCTTTAGTTATTTGGGTATTTATCTATGGGTTGTTTGGTCTCCTATTGGGTTTGGCCCATTTATCCTTAGTTGTTTGGTGTTTGGAGTTCTCAGCTATTGGTTTTTTTTGGCTACCCGTGCCCCTCCTTGGTAGTTGTTCAGCTGCTGGATGCTTGGGTTCTTGGGCTGGCCGTGCTTTTTCCTTGGTTTATGTTGGGTCTCTTAGCTGTTCCAATTCTGGCTAGATGTTGGGTTGCTTGTCCGTTCGATTCTTGGGCTGGCCGTGCATTTTTCTTGGGTTTTTCCCTCTGTTTTGGTTGGCTGATTTGGGCGGCTGCTTAAGTGATTGTTGGTCTCCTTTCCCTATTTATAGGGGTTGTTGGCTGCTGTTGGAAGAAGCTAATGAACCTTATTTTGTCTCCAAAAACCTAGAGGTTTTCTTTTAAAGCTTGAGAGCTTCTTCTTCTCTACTTATTTCTTCTTCTAAGTCTTCTATCTATTTCTTCTCTCCACAAGTTACATTTCCATTGTATCCTTCTTCTACAAGCGTGATAGGTGTTATTGGCCAGTTTGTTGGTATTTGCCGGAGGAGTTGCGACAGGTGTTAGATAAGGATTGTGTTGTGGTGGACCTCTGGTTTGCATCTTCTTAGAGCACCTTATTTTCTTATTTTATCGGTACATATGAGGTAACCACTTGTTGGTTGTTCTGAGGGTATTTCTCTTTAATTTAAGTTTTTGTTGTTTCCTAAAGCTGTTTAATTTTTGCACCTAGTTGGATTTTGTCGGTGGTTTGTTCAATTATTTTGGATTGGGTTGTGTCCTGATTTTTCTTAAGTGTTCTCCTTTGGTTTTAGAACTTTTGGGTTTCATCAAGAATGAAATGTAGTAATACATTCAACAAGACATCTGCTTTTTGTGAAATGAACTTATTCTCCAATTCAACATCCTCACCAAACCATTTCAAAGTGTGGATGGATTTTGGATTTAAATTTTTTTGTGATGGATTTCATTTTAAGAGTTTAAATTCTCAGTAGGATTTGAGTTTATATTTGACTAGATGACTTTGGAATTTTGAGAGAATTTTGAAAATTAATTAGCTCTCTCTGATTAAAATTTTTCATCAACACTTCTATTGTCAAAGTGTTTGAGCACTTTTAGCAAATCCGCGAAAGAATTCTCATATCTCACATTTAGTAGCTTGATATAAAGATTGGAGCACAAGCAGAATAAATCTTAGCATATAAATTAGAGCTACTGTAGGGGCATTTGAACACTTTTAGTGAATCTAGAAGCATTCTCAGACACCGCATATAGTAGCTTAATATAAAGATCGGAGCACATCAACAACAACAACAACAATAACAAGCCTTTATCCCACTAAGTGGCGTTGGCTACATGAATCCTTTATCTCCATTGTGCCATATCAAGGGTCAAACACTTACTTAAAAGGTCAATTCAAATAAAGATCGGAGCATATGCAGAATAAAAAATATAAGTGGTGAAATCATTATTAGACACATGAGAATCCATCAATGATAGACAAGGTAAAACTCGTTAACAACCAAAAAATTTCAATACTTGTGATTTCTTGTTGTTGACTTGATTAGGCCGACCAATTAAGATAGTTGAATAGACAATATAGGATGATAAAGACATTGAAGGTTGTGTGTAGAATAAATAGTTGAATGAATTGAAACCCATTTGAGTGACGAGTAATGCTGTTTAGACTAAACATCAAGTAGTTTCAACCTTTTGCTTTAGTATGAACTTTTGGCAATTATAAGGAATGTATAATGGTCCTATATGGTACGGTCAACCATCCACTTGATAACTACAGTTTTATCTGACTGAATGCCAATAGCTTGAAGATTCAATCTTTTTGTGTTTAGGGCCCTAACATGCTTGAAAGCATTAAAAGCTTTATTAGTGATGTTTTGTGATGGGCCTTTGAAAAACTTTATTTACAAAACCTTATAATGTAATCTTCTTTTTAAGGAGATATACAGGAATCTCCTAGCTTTATAGAGCAAGTCTAATATGAATTTAGGCATTAGTAGACTTTCAATGTTTTTCAAATCACACTCTATTTAAGTTGGAGGATCTTGCTTGATCATCAATTACCACTATGTCGTTTGTGTCCCTGGGGTTGGCAATATTGCACCTTTCTCCATCTGCTCTTGAGTGACAAATTGAATTCCTCACTTTATCGACCAGAGAATATTATAGTTATAGGTTTTAAAAGAAATTCATTTTCTATTTGTCTTGCTTTTCCTTGGACCATATCAAATCTAGGAGATGAGATTAGTATATCAAAATGGATAGAAGTCCAAATAGATAGAAAAGAAAGTCAGTGAATTTTGGAAAAGGTAGTACTAAATAGATGGTATGCAGTGTTTTCAATAACAATTTTTTAAAATAAATTGAAAACTTTTCATCAAGGAAATGCATTCTTATCTTCAAAAACTACCATCTCTTGACCCGTTATTTGATTAAGAATTTGTAGAATATTATAGCCTTTTTGTGACATTAATTAATCTAAGGATACAGTATATACTCTCATTCACCTTCATGAGGAACGCATTTAGAAATGCATTAGTGACGCACTTTTGATAATGAACAGTACTCTAGTCTACTTCCTGAACCCTTTTTTTTACATTGAGTCGTGTGTTAACTTTGAATGTTTGGAATGGATCCATCATGGCTTATTCCCGTTATTTCTACCATTAAACTTTGGTATTAAATCAAGGAATGGCCTACAACAGTCGTACATAGAGTATATCTTATCAAATTCATTATGATTGCAAATGCTTCATTGCATCCAACTAAGATCATTCAACTCAATCTTTTATAATTTAAGAAAGCCTCATTGTCCATTCTCTTTTGTCAAAAAAAAAAAAAAAAAGATTATATAAAATTACAATAATTGCTGAAACTGTGTTGCAACTTGATAGATACAAGCAAACCCAATAAGTTAGGGATAAGGCTTATGATAGTGATGATGATGATATGTTGTTGCTTTGAAATACAAAAAACTACTTTTTTTGCATAGCTACATTGCTTTTTAATTTGAGGGGGGAAACCCAATAGGTTTGGTTTTTATTTTGTTCTTTTTTTGTTTGTTCAAAAAATCATTTTTAATTTAATTATGTCAATGTCATCTGTTGTTTAAATTTTCGACAGCCTCCTTATGCCCATCCTGTATAGGGGTAGGCGCTTGCCCTTGTTCATTCTGGTCAGATCAAAGATATAATGGCGTGAAGTATTCATATAATTCATGTTCTTTTTAGCCGGATCAAAGATACAACGGATGTGGGGTATTCTTTTGTTATGATTCTTCTCCTCGCTAGATCAAAGATGTAATTGACGCAGGTCTTTGATACCTATCACTAATGTAAGCAAGAGAGAAGCTTATACGTTGGTATATGGCGAGAGGTTGCATGAGTTGTTGAAGTCACGAGATGATCGGGTCGGGTCAAAGATGGGACTAGGATTGAAAATGCAAGATTGCATGCAGATTGGAGTTGTGTTCGCGTGGGTTGGATCACTATTTAGGCACAGGACGAGCTCATGTAGATGGTCAACTTGAACAGACAAAGAGGAAGTCGAGCATCTGGGGTTCCCGAGGGTGATTCATGCATGTACTGTTTCGGTTGGAGTCGTGCGAAATCGAGAGGGAGACAGGGCTGATGGATGGGGCTTCTGCATGCGTTCAATAGCGAATGAGAGAGGGAGATTGGGCTGGTTGAGGCATCAAGTTGGCTAGGTGATGTGTTGGGTTGCACAGGAGAGGGAGGCCAGTCGGCTCCTGCATGCGATCGAGTGGAGGGCGAGTGAGCACTAGAGTCCCTGCATGTGATACAGAGAGGATGGGAGGGCTCACTTGAGTACGTGAGTTCCTATCAATAGAGAGGGAGCAAAGCGATTTTGTTTGCTTTAATATCGTGAATGGGAGTTATGTGAGGGGCGGTTCTAAGATTGTGGGTAGTTACATGGAGCGGTTAGTGGGTCAGTGCCCAACACTAACCATTTCTCTAGACCTGTACTCTATAACTATATTGATGCATTCCTGAAATGAATGAAAGAAAATAATAAAAGTTGTTTGTGCATAAGGTGATGATGGCTGAAAACTTCAATTTCAAAAATAAATTGTATGTACATTTAGGAAGTCAGTGTTATTCAAAACATAGTTGGCATAATCGATGCTTGATACTCAGAAAATGTAGGTTATGAGATGATGATGCAAGCAGCTTTACCAAGCATGGCTGAAAGCTTTCAATGATTCAAACTCATGACCACTTGGTTTCTAAAGAGGCTATCTGACCATTGCTCTAGACTTGTACTCTGATAACTATATACATGCATTCTTGAAATGAATGAAAGAAAATAATAAAAGTAGTTTCTTTTCTTATAATCATATAAGATTCTTTTAAACCACTGATGTTAAGATGCCTAAAAATAAAATAAAGCATTAAAAATAATTATACATTCCTACATACACCAAGAACACAAAAAAAAATCAAATTATTTGAACTGAAATCACAAGGGGAAAAATATCAAGGTCACCTGCACCAACAACTGTGTGAATCTCATCGATGAATAATATAATCTGTCCATTAGAAGACGTAACTTCTTTCAGAACAGCCTTTAATCTTTCTTCAAAATCCCCACGAAACTTGGCTCCCGCAAGCAATGACCCCATATCCAAAGAGATCAACTGCATATGAATAATATATGGATTTTATAATTTGCTCATAAATTCAAGCGAGATTAGTAAAAAAATAAATTTCTTTTTTCAATTCGGCAATGCAAAACAAATGATCTGATGGGGTGACACGGATGACCCTAAATGACATTGTGATTTTTTGTTGTTGTTGTTATAATAGTTCAAACCTGCTTGAAAATAAAAGGATAAGAATTCAATTACTTGCTACTCGTATGATCATACTTGAGAAAAAAAAAAAACATTCCTCACAATACTGGAGCTTCAAATCCTTGTGGCGTCTATTACTAAAATGTAAGAAAAAGGGAGTCAAGCCGTGGATTTCTCCGCAGATCAAGCAAAATATAGATTATTCCTCAAAATTGAATTTTACAGGCAAATTAGCGTAAAAGGAAAAAAAATTACAGATGACAAAAACTTACGACTTCAAAAAAAAAAGAATCTGACTCCTCAAAAAGTAGGAGAGCTAAGTTTACATCCAAATTTAAAATTTGCTTAGTATAACATACAAAATTCTCATTATTATGAATCCTATATTGAGATTTGATTTTTATTATTTATATAAGAGGGATAACAGATAACCTAAGAATCATGTAATCAATTTGGAGAGAGTTGTGAATTTTATCTTTTTGCATGCGGGCTTATTGTAGTTTTCAAATTAATGTATATATATATATATATATATATCCCTTTAGCTTTCCCCTGACTTGCCAAAAGAAGAATCCATGGCAAGAGCTGCTCTTGCCAAAACAATGGGTGTTGTTGGTTGTTATTATAAGATAGCCAGCAAGGCCATTAGCACTAAATAATTTGAGTACCTGACTGTGCCAAACGGGATACTTATCTGCAGTTAATGAGACATTAAACACATATTTTATGTTTGCCATGAGGAATTTATGTTGAGAAGGAATAGGGGTTTCACTAATGGTTAGAGGAGAGTTTAGAGAAAGAGTAGAGGACTCTGCTTAAGTGACCATGCTATCTTAGCTGCAATAGAAGCAGAGAAAAAAAATTACATCGAGGTACGGTGTAAGCTAAAGTGCTCTGATACCATGTTGAAATCCTTAGCTGCAACAATAGAAAGAAAACTAAAACAGAGAAGAAGTACTATAACTTCATATTGCAGTTTTTATGAAGAAGAACTATCTCATACTACACGATACATGGGTATTTGTGTAGGCCTTGTAAAGTAGTTGGTACAAAACAATGGTTCAGATTGTTGTGTCAGAGAATCAACGGTCCAGATGCAGAAATCAGAGAGTGGTAGTGAATGGCAGAAGAGTGTGGAGCAGGGCACTTTATAACCACAGTTTTTGAAAGCTTATCAGGAATTACTTATCTCTTATCAGCATGCACTAATTCTTTAATTGACACACATTTCTAGTATGAAATAATAAAAAAGAAACGTTCTTCTAAGTTAAGACTGTTAAGGGAAAAAAGGAAAAAATGCATACTTTTATTTCCCCATAAGAACTAAATGCGGCATCAAAGTACCACTACATAAAAATAGATGGGTAAAAAGACTAATAAAAATGACCAAATATATCTGTTTTAAGAAAAACAAGTATATCAAATTTGCATTTCCTCTAATTAAAGTAGCCGTTTCCCTTATTATAGCATCATTTCCCAGTATGAATAGGACTTAAAAAGCAGCACATTAAGAGACGTGCTAATAGAATTAAAATCAAAGCTAGCTTCACAAATTTGTTTGAAATAGTAAAACTAGGATTCATGCATTGCTAGTTCAGAACTAGCTTAGTTAATTAATTAGAATGCCAGTAAATGTCTCTTTTGCATATTAGATATCATCATTGTTATACTGGCTAGTACTGTACACTGCAAGAAAATCTCTGTAGTCTAATCTTATGTAGGATTACTAGTCGCAACATAATTTAGGTTGAACTATAAGACACAGGAAAGTAATTTAAACAGCAAAAGCATATTACCTTTCTATTCAACAGAGGTTCGGGAACATCTCCACGAAGAATTCTTTGAGCTAATCTGTAGAACAACAATATTAAAAAATCAGGACTCAAAAGTATTGTAGAACCATAAAAACAAGATACAGAAACAACATGATTAGTCCAGGCATCACAGTTAATAAGAGATTCCACTGAATTTTAGCCAAAATTCTACATGACAATTAAATTAAAAATTTAAAATAATCAAAAAGAAAAATGAATGCAAATCATATTATTACTTCAATATCATTTGAAACCTTGATATGAAGGTGTGTGAAGGAGAGTGGTTACCCAAATCACCAATATTAATTTTCAGTAACAACAACATACAACAACATCAAGCCTTCGTCCCACGACAGTACTGCGGTTTAATTTTCAGTGACAATAATAAATCATGCATACCCTTCAGCAATAGCAGTCTTTCCAACACCAGGCTCTCCAATAATCACAGGATTGTTTTTGGTTCTCCTACAAAGTATCTGGATACAGCGCCGGATTTCATCATCGCGGCCTATGACAGGATCTAGTTTACCACGCCTGGCAAGTTCAGTCAAGTCATTACCGTACTTTTCTAGCGCTTGATATTTTCCTTCAGGATCTATGGCAAAATAATGATGTAAGCCGCAGTACGAAAATAGAAAAATAAAAACAACATGAATAAAAAACTAAATAATGTCATTAATAACATTTTTTAATGATAAACAAAGGACAAAAAAATCTAGCATAAATATCACAAATCAGGCTTAGACGTGCTTGTCAGTTTAAGTGCATTAGAATATAAAATATGGCACATAAAATCATATTTCACATACTTTATCAAATTGAGAGAAAATTATGGCTAGAAGATAATATTTAGTAGATCCCTTTACATATATTTTTCATGCTATCAACAAGATGCAACAAAACAGATATGGAAGATATCCAACAAAGACAAACGGGCATCAGAACTTTTGAAAATATCTGCCATGAAATGACTAATAGCAGGATTACATGATCAAATTTAAGCACTAGTTATGGAGTAGCATATACAAAAAAAAATATAAACCAAAAAAACTAGTTCCATTGTAATCCAATCATCAACAACAACAACATCAAGCCTTTATCTCACTATATGTGGGGTTGACTATATGAATCATTTTTTTCCCATTGTGTTCTGTTAAGAGTCAAATTTTCATTTAAATCTAATAAAAAAATATCATTTCTAATATTGCTAACTAAGTCTTTTTTATGCCTACCTCTACCTTTCTTAACATAAGTCAAGTCTACTACATCTACTCTCCTAACTGGGTCATTGAAAGGCCGACGTTTTATAGGCTAAGTCTAAGGTGACTTTCTCTAATCTTATCTGCCACTGAAGCTACTCCTACCTTTTCACGTATATACTCATTTTGCATTTTGTCTCTAAGTGTGAAGCAACTCATCCACCTGAGCATCCTCATCCTACAACACTTAAATTAATTTTATGCTAGCCTTTTAATGGCCAATATTCTGCGCCATAAAGCATTGCAGGTTTCACCACCATCTTATAGAATTTTCCCTTAAGTTTGAGGGGTACTTTTCTATCACACAACATAGATCGATGCATTCCTTCACATCAACCATCCAACTTGAATTTTACTAATAATCTATCCATCTATTTCACTATCACTTTGAACGGTAGACCCGAGATATCTAAAATTAGTGAAAAATATATGATTGGCTAAGGGATTTAGAATTGATTTGTTCAAAGTTTAAAATTGCGTATTCGGGTATTGAGGTGTTTTTCATTCATGAGGCGAGGCGTAAGCCTCAAAATCAAAAGATTGCATAAACATAAAATGATAAATTTTTGATATACTAATGAGTGAATAATATAAAACATAAAAAAGCATAAGATATGAAGTGAAATCAAAATATCCCAATAATAAGACAACATGAAATATAGTTCAACTCAAAATTCTATCTTTCTCAAATCCCAATATTCATTTCATTAACATATAATTCCAATTTCCAAAAATAAATAGCAATGACATATCACATAAGAACTTATAAGTCATCAACACTGTCATCACTAAGGGGAACTTTATTTGAATCATCATTATGATGAACTGCTCTCTCCCCTTCCTCCTCTCCCCTATAGAATCCAATGTCGGGCATTTACTTCAAGATTTATATAAGTTTTAATATATATAGCGTGAGGCGTAAGCCTCATGCCAGTGAGGCGAGGCGGGCCTCAACCAAGTTGAGGCGCAAGCCTCATAAAAAAAACTTGAGGCGTAAGCATCGAGGCGTTTTTTACTGGAATTGCACAAAGGCGGGCCTCAAGGAGAGCCTCATATTGCGCAATTTTAAACCATGGATTTGTTATATATCCAGTTAAAGTTAAAAAAACATTGCATCTAACTTGTGCCCCAATAAAGTTCATGCGATGGCTTGAATACAAAAAAAATATTGTATTTCTTTCCAACTTGTTAGTTGGGATGCTAAAGAAAATGTCAAGCACCGCCTTCTGCTCGCAGTTATTACTTGAATAACTGCTTAACAAATGCCAACAAAAGAACTAACGATGAATACAATATTTATAGAATATACAAGTTTTTTCAAAAGAGTGATTTCCAATGACAGAATGTAGCTGTATTAGAGAAAAAATTATCTTCATTTAAATTTGAATTACGTGGAATTATAGATCAATTAATGCCAAAAAAATTCACGGAACTCAAGAATATTCAGATATGTAGCATCTAAAACCAATAAATTTACCACATGATTTTTCATATCATGATTGTATTATCAATATCTTTTCTGTTCCTTTTCTATCATTTTAATGTGTTCTCAATTCATCCCGTGCACTAGTTGCACTAGTTACTTGGATCACATTTCAGTTGACATGGGAAACTCTAAACCTAGGCAAAGCACTAGCCACAGAATCCAAGCTGTCAAGGAGGTCCAAGTTCAAACAACGTCTATGGCAAGGGCAACTGCAAGTAAAATGCATATAAGGGCCCATACGGGTTGTTGGAGTTAGAAAAATAAGTATCGGAAAACAATCGAAATTGCTAGATCCATCATTTGGATGCATATACTTATAAATACAAAGCAGCATTAAGCTCCAAAATCCTCTGAAAAATCTCCAAAAGTTATAATTTTATTCACATACATAATGTGTGAAAATTATAAAAATAATAATAATAATAATAATAATGTGTGAAAATTAAATCATAAATTTCAAAATTATGTTTTCCATCTATAACCAACCAAATAATACTGTCAAGCTTAACATTAGTTAGCATTACTCGTCTCTTGCGTCCCAGGCATTAAGCAAACACAAGAAGCATGAAAAGAATTCAAAAGAATCAAACCACCACTCACTGCTTTATATCTTCTCAATGAGATCACATCCAGGTTTGTTGAAGTTGGAGTGAAAAGAAAATAAGTAATGCAGGAAATAAAACGGGGTTGATTTGAATGATGGGAAATCTGTCGTCTTTAATTGATATTGAAAAAGAGTCATCAGATCAACGGGGGTAGATGGGATTGTTAGATAAGGAAAATTAGAGACCACAAATTCATTGCATACAAGAAAATACCTCTCTCACGGATTCGTATATAAGAAAGTAAAAGAAGAAAGAAAATACGATTGCATCCTTAGCATTAATTGGCAACAATGTATTATACTTCTCCCATATTTACCCTCAACAGTATATTACATGTTGCTCACCTTGCAATAAATCTTTTATTAATCCATACAAACCACTAAATAACACAACTATAGGATAAACTTGTTTACTAATCATTGTGTATTTAAGATCCTTATAAAAGGACGATTGAAGAATTTAGACAAAATGATGAGCTATATCTTCTTGAATATAAAAACCATTCATCATATTCATTCATCTCCACTCTTAATAAAAAAACCATTTGGGAATATTCTTATAGGTTAGACCTACAATGAATCTTTCATTTCTATATATGAATGATAACATTAAAGACTTTCATTGTGACACTTGTGAAATTGCAAAATATTGTGTTTCTTTTTCTAAAAATGACCCTACATCCTCTACTCATTTTATGTTAACTAACTCTGATGTTTGGAGACCTTCCCCCAACATTTCTAGAGCTATAAATTTATCATTTTTATTGATGATTGCATTTAAATGACATGGATATATCATATTAAACAAAAATCAAATGTCAGATTAAAGCTGATCGAAGCCGGATTCATTCGAGAATCCCCAACTTTACTGTTATAATAAAAAATCAATTTGAAGTTAACATCGAGATATTTCACATAAATAATAGTATTGATTATTTTAATCACACTTTATCTTCTTTCTTCAATAAAAATTTCTTCAATAAAAAAATGTATCATTAACCAATGCACCAATTTGAGACACTAGAAAATACCGCAAACCCTATTTAAGTCACTAGAAAATATGAATTCAAAGAATTCCACGATAGAATATATGAATACCTTGAAAAAAAAAAACTGTTTGAATATTATTGAGCTAACAAAATAGAAAAAAATAATAGGATAGAAATGAATCTTTTCATTAAAATACAAAATGGGTAGGAACCTAGAGAGATACGTAGCAAAAATAGTTGGCAAAAAATATACTCAATCCTATGAAATATTTATCCTGTTGCAAAATGAATATAATTCGTATTTTAATTTCTCTTGTTGCTAACCTTGATGGTAGATACAACAATATGATGTGAAGAATACCTTCGTACATGGAGATGTCGAAGAACTTTATATTAAACCTCAAACATGATTCGATAGTTATTTTACAAAAAAAAATAAGGTGTGCAAATTGAACAAAGTGCTTTATGGCCTTAAACAATCCTTGAGAGCATGATTTGATAAATTTACAGAAATGATATATGAAATGTGCTATAAACAAAGTCAAGAAGACCATACCCTCTTCTCAAAACACTCCACTACATAAATTTTTTTATTCTCATCATATTTGTTGATGATAGTGAAAGAAATGAATCACCTAGAAAATTTTATTGAAGATTTTGAAATCAAGAAACAAGACAAACTTAAATACTTCCTGGCTATAGAAATTGCACAATCATAACAAATAACCTTCTTCATGTCATGGAGCTATTAAGAGAAACAAAGATGGATTGTAAGCCATATGAAACTCCACCTAAACTTGGTCAAAATTTATATAGATGAAGAAGGAACAAAAGTTGAAATCGGACAACATCACAGATTAGTTGGGAAAATTATCCATTAGACTGCCTTAACATTACTTTTGTGGTAAGTATCACAAGTCATTTCATGCACAAATCCAAAGAAGCTAACATTCAAGCTGCTTAGATAGTCCTCATGTACCTTAGATCAATTTGAGGAAAAAGGAATTCTCTATTAAAAAATATGATATTCTACAACTTGAAGGTTATATTGATGCTTAGTATGTCGGGTCACAAGTGAATAAGAGGTCCATTTCAAGATGCTACACACTTCTGCAAAAAATCTTATAACATGAAGAAGCAAAAAACATTGTGTCGTTTCAAAACCCAGCACTAAATATCTAAATCTGAATTCATAGCAATTGCTCAATGTATTTGCAAACTCCTTGGAAGAGCATATGAAGATAAATTGTGACAATA